GAGAGAGAGAGAGAGAGAGAGAAAGAGAGAGAGAGAGAGAGAGAGCGAGAGAGAGAGAGAGAGAGATACTGAGAGAGAGAGAGTTCCTCTATGTATTTAACGGTATCATAGCTGCAGTATACAAACAAAGACATTTTGCGCTGTTTCCAAAGTGTACCCACGAACACTTGCGTGTATCTACGAATACAATATTGGTTGAAAGACTCAAGGAACCTAGCGACGCCAATGCAAACATCTGTACCACAAGTGTAAATACTTGGTAGGGTAATTAGACACAGAAATCTTTAGTCACTTCCCGTAATAGATAAGACATGGCTTAGAAAACATACTAGCCACTTACTAGCATTGCCCCTTCTTTGTCTCTTGAACACTCGTTTAGAAGTGAAAGTTATTCTAACCAAATCTTCGTATGGGAATGAATTAGATTTATCTGAGTTTTATGGACATTATGTTGTGTTATGGTTTAATTTGTTGCGGCTTCTTTCTGCACGCACCACATTGTGATCTGTTCTTCGTTCTGAAATAACAATTCAACCCCGAGGTAACAAAATGGAACATGAAAAGGTTTTCAATTTCATTTTGCATTAAAAGTTCACAAACTTTGACGTCCATAATCCAAAAAACAATCTGCATACAATGCAGACAGAATCCGTATATTCTCGTGAGTTTCAGCAGGGAGCTGGGCGCCATATTGCGCCAGTTTCATTTTCTAACCGTTGGAGTTTTTCTGACAACCGTCGGGAGTCGAAACACTGTCTCTTCCAGTCCAAAATTGTAATCATATGGCTGATAGCCGTGACCAATAGAATACTAGGACGCTAGATTCAATTTGTACTAACTTGCATTTTTGTTAATTGAAATTCGGCGCTTTCAGCGTGTTATACTCAAAATCCGGAAATGGAGCCAGTATCAGATCGCACGAAGTTTATACGATGACTCCGCAGGTTTTTGGCTGAGGCGTCATGATGAATACATAACTTATCTATGTCGCCATACAGCAGGTGGTCTGAGTTCGATTTCCGTGTAGTGGAGAATCTTGATCGTGTATCTCCGTCTTCTACTTCAGGGGATGACGAAATAGTTTTTAAAAATTTACAAGCAGAGCCCGAAAGCCATTGACAAACTTGCCTTGGTTTCACACAACAAAGGGAAAGAGACAAAGAAGGCGGTAAGTCTGACTAAGTTAAACGTATCTGCGTTTGAATAAGTACAGATTCAAATCTAAAATACCAAAACTGTTGTGTTGTATTATTCTCATGTCCTTGTATGCTTAAAACACACGAGTTCGAGTCTTGTGTGAGAAATTGAATATTTCCACTTGTACATGTATTTCTAACTATTTTGTTTTGTTTTATCTTGCTTTACTTTGTTGTTTTATTTTTGTTTTGGCTTTCCTTTGGTTTGTTTGTTAGCTGTAATCGGGGTTGAGCGCTATGTAAATGTCATTATTATTATTATTATTACTATTATTATTATTATTATTATTATTTTAAAAAATTTTTTAAAATTGTTTTATTATTATTATTACATATGTATTATCATTATTAGTAGATCTAGTAGGATTACTTGTTTAACAAGGTTTAAGGAAAGGGTTGCTTTGACAAGCAGAATTGAAACATACAAACTCTTAAACATTCTGAATCTACAAGAAAGGAAAAGATTTCGACCCAGGGATGAGAGGACAGTCTCAGGAAGGCGTTGGTGCAAGAGTTTTAGAATGAAAAATGACTTAACAGTAAACAGTTGAGCGTAAGATTAAGGGTCGTTTTATGTCCTTATTAGCTTTATATAATGAGAAAAGAAGAAGAAGAAGAAAAAAAAAAAAAAAGAAGAAGAAGAAGAAGAAGAAGAAGAAGAAGAAGAAGAAGAAGAAGAAGAAGAAGAAGAAGAAGAAGAAGAAGAAGAAGAAGAAGAAGAAAAATGATGATGATGATGATGTTGATGATGATGATGATGATGATGATGATGATGATGATGATGATGATGATAATAATATTAATAATAATAATAATAATAATAATAATAATAATAATAATAATAATAATAATGATAATGATAATAATAATAATAATAATAGAATTATAATCTTAATTTCATTTGTATACAGCATTTCAACGATCTACAGCAAACTTTATGTGCTTTACAAGTATTAAAATCATATGAAGAGCGGTACTCACAAAATGGCATTCGTTTACGATTCCATAAAAGAGAAAAACACCGAACTAAAAATTGGGCTGAGAAAGGGCTTTTGAGTAGGTTCGAACTCGGATGCCTAACTCAGAAGTCACGCACTAAATGCCTGACCGACTTTGAATGAGGCAGTAGGTCACCAAAGAGCTCTGAAATCAGCTTTTGGAACCCCCCACCCCCCACCCCCCCACCCCAAACAAGATGTTATTACCTGAAAACGACGAAATCCCAGCTCGTGTGAGTGTGTGCGTCTAGAAATTCAAAGCGGAAAATGTCTTTGGGTAGAAAATAGTCCAGGTGCGATGTCAGGAACTGAATTCACTTACTTGCCACCGTACGTCCACGCTTGAACACACTGATAGTCTTACTACTGTCACGTCTGCGCCAAGATCCTTCGTACCAGGTCCGAAAGGGAGAAAGTAGGTCAGTGACAGACGTCTTCGTCGTCTGCGCGTGCAATGACGTAACTGCCTGGTGACCTTACAGGGGAGGGGTCTCCACCGGTTCTGATAAGGATTTGAGCCTCGGACTACTGTAACTTCTTCTCACGACGTTTGGCTTGAGGTTTGTCGTGATGCGTTGTCGTGTACAGGAGATGCTGGGGAGGTTTGTGGTAGTTGGCACACACAGGTGCGAATACATACACAATATGCAAATAAACATACACACATATACCTACACATACACACATACACCTATACATACACATACTCATTTACATAATAATAATAACAATAATAACAATAATAATAATAATAATAATAATAATAATAATAATAATAATAATAATAATAATAATAATAATAATAATAATAATAATAATAATAGTAGATAGCATACCCCCCCCCCCCCAACTGCAAGCTCTATGCGCTTTACACTACATTATTAACCAGCAGACCATTCACCACTCAGAAACATTCTCAGCTTCCCGGGAAGCAGCTGATTAAGCGCTGAAACACTAACCAACTGACAAGATATTTCGCTGTCTATAGCTGGGTACCCATTCCCACCTGGGTGAAGTGAGGAAAATTAATATAAAATGCCTTTCCCAAGGACACAACGTCGGGACCCTGAGGGGATTCAAACCCAAGACCTTACCGTTGCGAGTCCGAGAACCTAACCACAAGGCATACAGATACTCATTCGCAGATAAATACAAGCACGCACGTGTATACGCATACATTTACATAGATCTATTGACCTACCCATACACATACACATACATATACACATACATATTTACTCATTCACATACACAAATACATATCAACATTCACATTTGCTTACACTCACACACACACACACACACACACACACACACACACACACACACACACACACACACACACACACACACACCGTTCGCCTTCACATACGCACATGCACATTCATATATACACAATAACACAATAACAGGTTCAAGTTTAAATACACATTCACATGCACGTATGCACACACATAAACATACATTCTTATACAAACAAACATGTTCACATTGGTAAGTATACTCACATACACATTCACAAACACATAAAAACACACATATACACAGACTACACACACACACACACACACACACACACACACACACACAGATATATATATATATATACACACACACACACACACACACACACACACACACACACACACACTCGGGAGAAAAGGGGGAAAGGAGGGAAAGTACTAGAGAAGAGAGAGAGAGAGAGAGAGAGAGAGAGAGAGAGAGAGAGAGAGAGAGAGAGAGAGAGAGAGAGAGAGAGAGAGAAAAAGAAATTGAAAGAGAGAAAAAGGGAGAGAGAGAAAGAGAGAGAGAGAAAGAAAGAGAGAGAGAAAGAGAGAGAGAAAGAGAGAGAGAGTGAAAGGGAGAATAAAAAAGAGACAGACACGCAGAGAGAGAGAAAGAGAGAGAGAGAGAGAGAGAGAGAGAGAGAGAGAGAGAGAGAGAGAGAGAGAGAGAGAGAGAGAGAGGCGGGAAGAAAGTGAAAGGAAGCAGTTTGATAACCTGTTATGTAAGAAATATAAAACTGACCGCTGTGACGTCATGGCCAGTGCCGGTGATGTCTGCTGACGTCAATGATAAGACTGGGAGATTAAAGAGGATTAGAAAAGATACCGTAAACCTGCTACTTATGGTGCATAGGTCGTCGAATTGTTTTCGTCATTTGTCAGCTTTATGTTTCGTTTTTATTATGTCTCAACTTCTTACTCTCCTTCTATCACTGTCTTTGTCTCGCTCTGTCTGTCTGTCTGTCTGTCTGTCTGTCTGTCTGTCTGTCTGTCTGTCTGTCTATCTGTCTGTCTGTCTGTCTGTCTGTCTGTCTGTCTGACTGTCTGTCTGTCTGTCTCTCTTTATTTTTTTCTTAATTTTGCTTATTGTCACCTTTTTTTTCTCTTAGACTTACTTACTTTACTTTTTTCTTCCGCTTGTACCCTGGGGTGTCGCGGGGAGACACAGGTGTCTGTCTGCAGCAAGTCATGTGGCCTGTAGGAGGGGCATCCCATGATCTTTAAGGGTGTCTGCCACAGATTCACTCCATCGTCGCCTTGGTCTTCCTCTGGCTCTCCATCCAGAATATTTAGTGTTGTATGCTCTCAGAGCTGAATGGTTTGAGGGCATCCGCGTGAGATGTCCGAACCACTTGACCTTTTGTTTTTCAATGTGTGGTAGGACTGGTGTTGCTCCCACGGTGTCCCTTATGACTTCATTTTTAATTTTGTCTCTTCTTGTTTTGTTGACCGCTCTTCTTAAGCATTTCATCTCGCATGTGACCAGTTTTCTCTCTAGGGCTTTTGTCCATGTCTGGCATTGATATGTGAGCGTTGGAAGGAAAATGGTGTTCATGAGCTTCGCCTTGGTGCTCATGGGGATATTGGGATGTTTCAGGAGAGGGCCCAGTTGGTAGCTGACTGCGTTGGCTCTCTGGCATCTAGTCTCTATCTCTCGATCTAATTTTCCATTTTCTGTGAAAATTCTGCCCAAGTATTTGAATAATCTGCTTTGTTTTAGTTGGGATCCATTGATGTTGATTT